TATATAGATAGATAGATAGATAGATATATACAGTATGTCATGTGTCCACATACAGTACATTTAAGTTCCTGAATGAACAAAAATATGTCTATGACTCTACTGGTAAAGATTTTTGCAGTAATGCATTTGCAGCTGTTCACAGTTAATGTGTATGATGTCATGTATTAATCTATGTTAATTCAAAGAAGTATGAAAGACAGATAGATGCAGCCCTGAGTTTATGATCTTGGGCATTTCACTCTCAATTATCTACGTACTTTCTCCCAAAGAAACTAAGATAATACATGAAGACTCATAGACACATGCCTTGGATAAATATTCTATTCCAGGAACTCTTGAATATTTACCACAGTTTTTACATTTACCAGAGTGCCTTTCAGTATTCTCAGAAAATGGGTCTGAACATGTTGCTTTCCATCAAAGGTGAGGATATGGACATATAGCTCATCATTTGTTTCATTTAGTCTATGTGTTGCATTTTGGTCTACTGAGGCTACTGTTGGAGAAAAAAGGAAAATATCTTCCTTTATTATAAAGGTCGTATGATGACACTATGATGCTGATGCAAAATGGCAATTCTGTAAAAAGTGTGATGCTGAAGGACACCAAAACCTTTCATATACCGCATCATTCTAGCTGCCATAGCTGGAAAAATATCTCTGTAACATTGCATGTCTCTGCTTGGCTACGTGTCTGCAGGGGATTAAAAATGTGGCACCAAAAAAACAAAAAAGGCCCAGAAATGCAAAACAGACAGTGAATTTTTCCTTAATGTCAGCATTATTTATTGCCCTGTGTCTTGCTGCTTCTCTATTTGACTTTGTATGGGGAGCAATACATTTATAGTATTTTTAACAAAGACTTCAAACCATTCAGCAATGTATAGGTAGCATTTAAAGAGTTTATAATCAAATAAATCATACACAGACTGGGAAGGTGCTGTGCAGACAAAGTATCCAGTCAAGTCTATTGTCATTAGTACTATTTCTGTTTAAAGAGGACATTTTACTGGACTGAAGAGTGTGTTTTTTTTTAACACAGTGTTCTATGGCAGTATGTACTGTACATCTCAGTGTGAGACTGGGCATGTGTCCCACTCTCTTGGCAATGCGCTGACCTTTCTCATTAGGCATAAGCAACTTACATAATCACTGCTGACTTCTATTGACTTCCTTGTCACACTGCCTATCCGTTTGACTGGAGACTCCATGAAAAAGTGCAAGCTGCCAAAAAACTTCTCCCTCAATGTCTTTCCCCTGTCATCTGCAGATCTGCAGCAGGATTAGCATCCATCATTTTTCACCAAGTGCACAGAAATGGGGATTTCACAGTGATTTATCCTCTATTGCAACAAAGGTTTACTAGTGACACTGTCTATTAATATTTATCAAATGCTAGCTATACTCCCTTCTAACCAAATATATGCACTGTTTGTAATATTCACTTATATACTTAATGATGTTTATGTTTTAATTGTGTATATACTTACTGTATAATGACTCTTCTACCAGGTAAAACCTCACCTGCACATTCAAATCTTCTGTTTTCTTTTGCCCAGAGAAATGTTGATTTGATTTGATTTGATTTGATTTATTTATTCTTTCAAACATGTAACAACAGTCAGTATGTAATCACACGTAATTCCAGACATATCCACAAAAATATTTTCAATTTGCTTATACCTAGTACATGCTTGAACGGAGTAGGAAGAAGTTAGACTTATCTAGTCCTACCCCCTGACATCATCTTATTATCATTGGTTTGCAAGCAGTATTACTACATGGATACATATTCTACATCCACACTCCCGTCTGATTAATCATTAAGCCTGTTCTTGCATATATCTTGATTGACACATACCTTTATATCTATGTTTAAACTCATCAATTTTCTTACTGTTTTTTATGTCCATACTTAAATTATTCCATAGTTTTACTCCACTTATCGAAATACAGAATCTTTTTTTGGTGGTGCGTATAACATGAATTTTATAATTTAACTGACCCCTTAAATTGTATCCTCCTTCCCTTTCATTAAATAGTTTTTGAATTCCACCAGGTAATAAATTGTTCCTGGCTTTATACATAAACACAGCAGTCTTTCAATGTAGCAAATAATATGCCTTTTTAAGGCCACAGTAGCCTGTTCTCTGCACGTGGCTGTATTTAACCCGCCACTGTATAAATAGGGTGGATACAGCTGGCTGCATGTCTTGGTGGAAATCATTTTAACTCAATGCAGTGTGCGGGTTATGTTGATGATAAAAGATGAATGTGTTTTTGGAGTTATTTCTTGCTACACTCCCACAATAAAGTCAGTGCTATAAAGGGATGACAGCCTCAGACACAAACAAAGAGCCTCAAACAGGATCCCACATTAGTTTTCTTGCTTGCGTGTCTTTTTTATTCACTAGCTTGGACACACTTCTTAGAGTGAACCTTGGTACCAAAACAAAACATCAATTTGGGGACACATGCTTGCTATTTTCAGCTTGCGTGCTAAATCACCACTGAATGAGTCAGCCGTAACTTAAAAAAAGTTATGTTAACATCAGCAAGTTTAAATTTGTAGTAGCACTTATCTTCCAACACAGAGTGCCAGTAAGGAGCACAAAGCTGTATGCTGCTGCTAGGAAGGAGCCTGATGAAAACTAAGACACTACAGCGGTAAAGCTGTGGACAAGCAGTGAGCTAAAAGATATGAAATTCCCTATGGAAGCAGGGGTACATTTATTAATCCATCCATCCATCCATCTGTTTTCTTCCACTTATCCCAGATCAGGTTGCAGTGGCAACAGGTTCAGCAAGGCAGTCCAGACATCCCTATCCCTGGCAACTTTTTTCAGATTCTCTACTGGGATTCCCAGGCCAGATGAGATATATTATCTCGCCAGCGTGTTCTGGGTCTGCCTTGGGGTCTGGTTGGCTGTGCCTGGAAAACCTCCAATGGGAGGCGCCCTGGAAGATCCTGATAAGATGCCTGAATCACCTCAACTGGCTTTTAATGTGAAGGACCAGCGGTGCTATGCTGAGCCCCTTCCTGAAGTTCGCACCCTATCTCTAAGGCTAAGTTTGATTTGATTTGATTTGATTTAAGCATGTAAAGACAGTTGATATGTCAACGCACATAATTTTACACATATCCAACAAATGCTAATCCA